CTAAAATTCAAAATATCGAAAAAATAATTATTGAATTATTAATTGAACAAGTAGGTAAGATGATGAGATAAAACATGGTGTTGAAAAAAATGACTTTTAAAATACAAAACCATCTGATATTAATGTTTCAAGAATTTCTTTTTGAATCTTGCCCCGGTACTGGTAAAAGTGAGTTTGGGTGATCCTCGAGGTGGCTTTTGTAATTTTCTGAGTGTGTTCATATTTCATCGTTTATTGTGTTCACTTTATGCATTAAACAATTCGGTACATGAATGCAAATTTTTTGCAATGACAATACTATATGATATAAATTCATATTTATTTATATGCACAAATTTTGCTTTTAATTTTTAATATTTCTCTATTTTCTATCCAGTGCTGCCTATAGAGAACCCGAGCCTAGCAGAAGAATTCTAGGTCTGAGGTATCCTGAAACAGGTGATATAAGATTTTTTTTAATATTATACAATTTTCTTTCATCTTTGCTCTAAAAAAGTAAAAATAAACTTAAAATGAATATAAGCTCCTAAATATGAAATCATCTGACCAATGGCATTGATTTTGAGATTGATAGAAGTTGAACTTTCTATTTTTTATGTAAGATGTGAGAATAAATTAAATAATTTTAAAGGTATATTTAAATATAAATAAAGTTTTTTTTCAGATGATTCTGAACACCGATATAGAGATCCGGTGCCAAGTGCTACAAGGGGTAGATACATACATGGATATACAGGTAAATATATATAGAGTGTCCCAGAACTCAACGTCAAGCCGAAGCACGATGATAGTATTAATAGATTTTTATTAATTTTTAGTTTTCCAGTAACTATCATGAAAAACTTAGAAAAAAATATTTCATGCAGTTTGAAAATTATGAGCTTTATTTAAGTGCTACCTAAAGCTTTGGTCAAACAGGGAACATTTTTCGTCTATTGTTAATTCGGTTATTAATTCAATAGATCATTTAAAGTTTTAAATGCGTAACCGTAAGTAACATTTCTAGTAAAAAAAATGACAAAAGTGTCAAGACTTTTTGCCAAACTGAATTTAAAATTTTCAAAATTGATGGCTTTTGAAAGAATCCATCTTTGAAAAAATGTACTTATACGTTATGTGGCGCATTTAATTAGAATTGTAAAATGATATTGTTAAATAGTTTCATACTAAAAAAACAGTAAAAGATAAAAATCTAAAAATAACACACAATTTTCTAACGCATTTTTCTCAGTTCCTGCATATATAACCCTCATCATTTCGGACAAATTTTAAGATATTACTTAAAGGCTCATTATTTTCAAACTACGTGCGATGGCTATTTTTTATCTTTTTTGATGACGTTGAGTTCTGGGACACTCTGTATACAAACAAATTTTTGAGATAAAACCCGAGTAATTTCTATGATGCCACAACTATTTTTCTAACATTTCACACTTAAGTTTCCTTCAAGTAAAAAAAAATCAATAAAACAAATGACAATTTTTTTCTCTGTGATAATTCATGCATCAATAGATTTTAAAAGATTGTTTGTAATTAATTTTTTTTAAAAATGCTCATGCACACAAACTCAGGCATCATTAAGGGCTGTTAAAGTTTCTAGTATCAAAAATATTTTTTTGAATATGCTGCTTTTGCAAGTTTAATTTATTAATGTGGAATTTTTATATTTTTTATATTTTATTTGTTTTAGTATACGCTTTGAGAGCTTGCCTGCTGTATTTATTTGAATAAAAAAATAAATATTAATAATTTTAAATATATATAATATTTCGAGTACTTTTCATATATGGGCTTACTCTATATTTTTTTTAGTGTAAGAAAAATCGTAAAAGTGATTTGATAGTATTTCGCGTTCGTTCTGCCACGTTATAGTACTACTAGAAGCACGGCATGCCCATACCATCAAGAATATATACAATTTTACTACAATCGAGTAATTGAGTTCGCGGAGCTTTGAATAAAATATTCTCTATTCGCATAGTCATTGCATTCGATTTTTACATAAAAATCGAGCGCTCCAAACGCTTCTTTATTAACCCATTGTCTTTGCTTCCCTCGAAACACGACCCACTTTGGATAAAAAAATTATTATAGGCATAGAATTATTCTATAACAAAAAAACTGATACACCTAGTTAGCACCTAATTCCTGTACAAACTTCTTCTTTTTAACTTCCCGTAGGGCAAGTATAGTAATCGCAAAAAAATCGAAAATGAAAATTTTTATATATCATTACGTTTCAAAGGTTTCTGAACATTTTGGCATACCTTAGAAAAAATTGATGTATGTGTGTGTGTGTGTGTATGTATGTATGTGCGGATACAAATTTTCGTCGTCAATAATTCAAAAAACATTTGGTTCGTATTGATAAGGAGACGTGCTGATTAGTTTTTGGCGAAGGCAGGTCTAGCCGTTCCGAAGATACGGGGCAAAAAGTGCCGAAAACGGTAACTCAGTTTTTTAAGAGAACGGAGCGTCCGATTTGAA